TATTTTTATTTTTTTTAAAATGCCTTATAAAATTCCATATCGGCATGAGTCGATATTAGGCTCGTCGAGCTTTAAGACTGGACTGGGCCGACCCTCCACTCTTTAGGGCTGGCCTGGCCCAGAATTTTCATTTGGGCATCACGAACTTTCACGTATTTTCAGTTGAACTTGGACTTTAAAAATAAGAGAAAGAAGAAAATAGACCAAGACTTGAGATGAATTAAAATTAATAGGCCAATAGTTTACATAAGTTAATAAATAGGCCAAATTACTGTTTTCGTCCATAACTTGTCTGGTTATGAACCATAAATTGACAAGTTATTGTCCATAAATGTCCATAACTTGTCTGACTATAAATCATAACTTGACAAGTTTGTCCATAACTTATCTGGTTATGAACCATAACTTGACAAGTTATGGCCTATTAATTTCTATAACTAAAAATTGGCATATATACTTTCTTAAGCTTTTCATATTGGCCTATTTTATACTATTTCCCTTTAAAAATTTGGAAAACAGAAATATTTTCTTTGTGGTCGTGAAACAACATTGTAACACACTGCATGACATTATGGGAACACATTTTGTTATCCACATATTTTCCTAGGACTCAGCTAAGGACCTGATAGCATCCCAACTAATTTCACACCTCTTCAAAACTCGTTATTGCTTTCATGCGCATATTTTACTAGGACTCATTCATCTTAAAATGATGGCATGTTCTTATTGGTTGGACACGATTTAAGGCAATAATTTTAGACATGGATCTCAGTCTTGAAAAAAGTCTACACTTTTAAATTGTCGTTTAGACTTTTAATCATAAAAATTTTAAAATTTATTCCGCACATATTGTCGTGTTGAAATCATTTAAATAGTTTATTATTTATTAGATAATCAGGAATTTATTTATACAAATATTTAAGTAAGGTAAAGATGTAAAAATAATGTTATTGAAATACATCTTAAAATATAAGATTACCAGAAAAATGAGGAAAAAATTTATAATAATAAATGAAAAGTAAAAGATTAAAAGAAAAAATAAAATAAAGCAAACAAAATAAAAAAAAAAGAACGGAAAAGAAACACATAGCTACACGAAAAGTAAAGATGAAGAGTCATTAACACTTTTCATACAAGCAATTGATGCTGACCACCTGTGTTTTATCAAAATTTCAAAACCATTCCCTTAATCAAAACTAATCATGTCAATACCCTCTATTAAACTTTATTAAATTTTCATGAGAAATATTAAAAATACTCCTTTTACCTTTTTTTATTAAAAAACTATTTTAATAAGGTAAAACAGAAAAAATATATTAGTAAAATACATCTTAAAATATAAGTTAACAAAAAAAAAATTTAAATGAAGGAAGAAATGTCATAAGATGATAAGTGGAAAAAAAATTAAAAGAAAAAATAAAATAAAAACTGCGTAGGAGCTTTAAGCGAAGAGAACAATAGAAAGAAAAAAACTAATAAACAAAAAAGCAAAACAGTGCGAAAAAGTAAACAAAAAACTAAAAGAAAAGGAGAGGTGGGAGAGGTGCTATGTAGCGAAAAAAGAAGAGGTGATCAAAACCCATTTTGCCTATTTTATGTATGTAAAGATTATTTTTTTTAAATACGCGTAAAAAATTGAGGAGTTTATGGTAGGATTAGAAAAATAAATTATTAATAGTTTTTTATTTTTAGTTGTTAGATTTATATTAAAAATTATTTATTATGTACACTTTTTTATTTTAATATGATTTTAACCAAATCTAACAGTCCTAAAAAATTAATGGCCCTTGGAAGGCTCCAATGGAGAAAGTCCTAAAAAATTAAACTATAAGAAATTACTTTCAAAAGAGTAAAGTGGAATAAAAATCAGTGATTTGAACTAAAAATAATTTCAGAAACTATTTGTTCTATATACTTTTTAACTAATGAAATTTTGACCAGATCTAATAGTTTGAAAAAATTAGTGGTCTTATTGACAAGAAGGCCCTATTGGTGAAAGTCCCAAAAAATTAAATTGTAGGAAGTTACTTATGTTGGAGTAAAGTTGAAAAAAATATATTTTTAAAATACACACGTAAATAAAAAATTCATAAAATGAAAAACCAAACATTTAAAAGTCTCTGGTAACGGCACCAAAAACTTATTGCTTGTATTTGTGCTTGTAAATGCACAAGTCGCCTCAAGTAATAAAATGTAAATAAGAGTGTCGATCCCACGAAGAATGTACTTAATTTTTGGGAGAGGTAATCTATACATATGATTTGGATAGCACAATTTAGGTTTTTATAGTTTGGGTGGCCTACAATACCTTCGTAGTCATTCGGAGAAGTAGAGCTTAATGAGTGTTCAAATTACTCGGTTTTTAATAGGGATATTGGAATTGGGTTTTAAGCATATTATCCAATTTGACGCTCGAAAGAGGTAATTGGGTTAATTAAGAGTTCTTGAATAATAAATTAGGAAATTCACTTAGTAATAATAATCTTAGAACTGATCAATTTCAGTTTAACGAAAATTAAATACATTCTCCTTGGGATTGACACTTTTATTCACACTTTATTACTTGAGGCGGCTCGTACACTTACGTGTACAAATGCACGCAATAAGTTTTTGGCGCCGTTGCCGGGGAGTCAGGTGAGGCACAACGCAATTGATCAGACAAGTTGGAACCGATTCTCAATTTTAATTCCCTTGATATTTTTGACCCATCCCAACTTTATCTTTTCAATTCGGCTTATTTTTCTTTGTACTTCTGACCCCATTTCATTTCAAACTTTTCACTTAAGCCCCTCTGTCACAAAGTTAAATACAAATGAGACATTAATTATTTTGAAAGGAAAACTAAAATAGAAATTACTAAAACTAAACTAAATAAACTAATATAAATTCAATAAAAATCTAAAGTAAAATCAAACTAATAAAATGAAATAAAAACAAATAAAATAAAATAAAATAAAATGAAAAGTAACTTAACTAAATTTAAAATAAAATAAGATAAAAATCTCAAAAACTAATCAATTTAAATGCACAAAAATGTGAAATAAATAGAGTTATCAAGTACCGTTCTATTTAATATTCAAATGGCATGCTCAAATGAATTTTGATATTGAACTTTCTTGGTACAATTTTGGAAGATAGATTAATTATCTTAGTTATCTTTTAGGATTGTTAATTAATTTGGATATTCTATCTCTGTTTGAGCTAAGTTTATACATGGGTACTCTGTTTTGTAAGTATGGAATTTACCAAAAATGATACATCTTTGCCACCTTTATCTTCTTTTCTTTGAGATTGTTGGGCAGCAACCATGAAAGATATAATTCTTGTATATGCATTTTGAAAAATCGAAGGAGAATTTTCCTTTCTTTTGTTTATTGAAAATTTTCTATTATTTGCTTGAAAATACACTAGAGATATACTATTGAAGTGTTCAAAGAAAGTGGAGAAACTGGCAATCCTATTGTTGGAGCTGTTATCAGAAGCTCTTGGGCTTAATAGAAACTACTTGAAGGACATGCGTTGCGCCGAAGGGCATGTTTTTCTTTGCCATTACTCTCCTCCATGTCCTGAGCCAGAACTAACTTTAGGCACAAGCAAGCACATCGACACCTGCTTCCTCACCGTGCTTCTTCAGGACCACATTGGTGGCCTTCAAGTTCTTGATAACTGTTGTGTCAAAACGTTAAATTAAACAGATTCAAGATAAAATATAAATAATAAAAAAATTTAAGAGATATAAGAATTTAACGTAGTTCGGTTTTGAACCTACATCTACAAATAAAAATGGCGAAGAAATTATACTATAACTAAAAGAGATTAAAAATCTCTCACTATCTAAATCCCGAATACACTTAAAATCTCTCAACCTAAAAGTAAGAATTCTAACTGTCAAAAAAATAATTGTATGACTAAATATTCTTACACGTCCCTTCTCTCACGTCCATAAGCATATTTATATATTCTTCCAAAACTTAGTCGGCAAGCTAAGTTAATGAGGGAGGGTTCACAAAACAAAGCAACGACACCTAATGCTAATGGGAGAGACATGGGCCTTGGGCCCAAACCAAAAACAAAGCTTCATGGGCTTATTAACCAGCACTAACATGGGGGATCTATTATAAGGAAGGTTTTCACATTATTCTTGCTTTACTTCCTAGTGAATGACCCTTCAAATCTCAAAACGCCATGGAACATTGTTTAATGCATCCAAGCATATATCCTTGTTTGATCATTGTCCCATTGCCTTCATTGAAGAAACATATGTCACATAATGTTTTGAAGTACTAATGTGAAAAAAAAAATGTTTAAGTACAAATGATCGATGTAGTTTTATCCGAATTAACGTCAATTAAAGGACATCCAGTTGTTAATTGTTGAAAAAGTTTGTTTTGTTTTTCAGCTTATATCAAATGACAAGTTCAAAAGTGTTGAGCACAGAGTACTGTGCGAACCACGGAGGTCCGAGAGTGTCCATTGCCTGCTTTTTTCCGACGGATCTTCACGAGTCATCTATGAAAACTTATGGACCCATCAAGGAGTTGTTGACAGAAGAAAATCCTCCAAAGGAATTGTAAAGATTACTTCTATTTCAGCATATATTTTCCAAGGGTTAATTATATTAATATGCCCCATAGTTTTTCTTTTTTTTTTTTTAATGTAACTCTATTTTAGAAACAAGGTATCCTTTGAATTTGTAAGTTTTATTCGAATTTCATCTCCCGAGGATCCAAAAAATAGGTGAAAGGTCACAAAATAGCCTTCAATGGTTTCCATAAAATATTTTGAGCATTTAAAAACTTAAAAACCTCTAAAATAGAACATAAATTTTCAAAAGCAAAATCTCATATTTTAAAAACTTAGCCTTGTTTGTTTTGGCCGACAGAGTGTTCGAGAGAGACGAAATAGGAACAAGTTTTTCAAATTCAAAGGATATTTTTATAGTTTCTAAAAGCAAAGGATAAAAGATTGAATCCGCATTAAACTAGAGCAAAACTGCTCAGTCTTTAATTAATACTTGCTCATACTGATAACTGGAAAATGCAAAGCATACATATGTTGCTTTAGTACAAAAGAAATGATCTTTCTAAGAAGTGAAAAAGAAAATGATGGATATGAATGACAAGAAAACCGCACAAAATGCGACAGATAATGCAGTGGCTGAGGATGGAATCCTACCGTTGTCTTTCCTTATTATCATCCCCTCAATAACTGGGTAATTTATAACCAAGATATAGAATGAGATAAAAACTTGAACAAACATCTTGTTTAAATCTCCGATGAAGATGGCCCTAGCAATTCCCACAAGAAAGGAAACCGCGTTCAAGATGATTACGGAAACCATTGGACCGAGGAACATCGTGGATGTTCGGAAATCAAATATGCCCTGTTGATATAGATATTCTTTCTTATCATCTTCGACTTTATTCGTCGTCATGAAACGGGCTTCTCTCAAACCAATCCTCTTCAGAAGTGCATCCATAGAAGTTAGAAGTGATTGATCTTATCATCCACATCCTTTGCTCATATATCCATGCCTTGAGTGACCCTCCTGTCGCGAGTACCTCGTATAAATGCTTAGATATGGCCGACAGGAAAAGAAAAGAAACCACGACGAAAAATGTGCTCAAAACCTGCATCCCAGTAGGACCATGTAAACAATTATGACATGTTGAAAAATACTATGGCCCCGTTTATTTCACCGATTCAAGTTTAGAATTTGAGTTTTACTACAGTAAAAAAACTCTCACATAAAATCACATATGAACTCGAATTAAAAATTTAAATCAACGAACTAAACGGGCCTATATATTTAGCAAGAAACCAACCAAAGGTATAAAAAAAAAAAAAAAGTTTTACTATGTTTTCTTTTCTTCATTATACTCACCTTAGGGTATATGGGAATGCCATTTATGAGGCAGAGCTGAGGAATGGTGGCAAAGCCCCACAAGGGAAAGAAAGAAAGCGGTAAAGCGAGTTCGGCGTAACACATTTTATGAAGAATGGACACGCGCCAGGGACGGTATATAAAACGGCAATACTTTGAAATACCAACATCAAAGAAACCAGAGCACCACCTTGTGCTCTGAGTTAGACAGTCATTCAAGGTGGTGGTTGCACAGCCCAGGAATTGCGGCCTCGGCGGATCGCAATAGACTGAAATCCAACCTTTGCTGTGTAATGTAAATCCTGTGAAGTAATTTTCTGCCACTGAACCATATAGATATCCCACCTGCCTCATTTTATCCATTCACAACAAAATTAATTTTCAAGTAATAATTTATAAAGTTTCAATTCGTCAAGTATACAAAAAAATAACACTACTTGCCTCTTCACCCCATTTAGTGCCAATTTCATAAGTACAAGAAGCTAATAGTTTCATCTCTTCAAGTATTGATGTTGTGTCGCCACCATTCTTCATAACATGAGGCTTGTCGTTTTCGCTGCAAAGTGATGCGACCAGCTCGTTGGATGGACCATAAGCTTGCCTAAGCTTCATGGGATCTGCATCTAATCGTACGGCCAAATTACGTCAAAACCATGATCAGTTCAATCTTTACAAAATGTTCATCATACTAGAAGTTAACACAAATTTGGGGTATATTCATTCACATATATTTTTATAATTTAATCGGCAACTACAGATGGAAATGTTAAAATTTAATTTCGAGAATTTCAATTAATGTAGTAGTTGAACGTTGGTTATGCTGTCCAGATTGTTTCCCATTTCGCATTTAATGTTGCTCTAGAATTTTCTATGTGATTGTATTCTTTCTTAAGGTTGTAAGATGTTGTCTATGATATGCCCAAGTAATACAACACACTTTTTTGTCTTCCCTTGCTCTCTTCTCAAACTTTTTCTCCAATTCCTTTTACTAAAAAATCTATCAGTGGTATTAGAGCACAATTCCTATTTTCCTGGGATATATCTTGTTGTCTTGCTACCAAATGGCGACAAACCCAAATACTCTGTTCCAATACTCTCCAAGTCAAGTCCCCATTTTTGATGGAGAGCACTACGACTATTGGTGCAGTCAGATAAAGACATTCTTCATTTCACAAGATCTTTAGGATGTGACTGAAGAAAGTTATGAAGAACCACCAAAAGGGCAAGCTGCTTCATCTTGGACAGAGACCCAACAAAAATAATACAAGGAGAACGTGAAAAGAGATGCTAGTGCCTTACAGTACATACAACAAGGGGTAAGCAAAGCCATATTTCTCAGAATTTTTAGCGTTAAAAAGGCAAAAGAAGCTTGAGAAATTTTACAAAAGGGCTTTCAAGGCTTAGGCAAAGTCATTGCCATCAAACTTCAAACATTATGGATAGATTTTGATAATCTAATCATGAAAGACATTGAGAATGTACGAGATTTCTTCTCAAGTGTTTCTGAGATAGTCAATTTGATTAGAAGCTGTGGTGATGTGATACAAGAGGAAAAGATTGTGTAGAAAATTCTGAGAAGGTTAACTCAGAAATTTGAGCATGTTGTTCCAGCGATTGAGGAGTCAAAAGATTTGTCTACATACACCATGTATGAGTTAATGGGTTCTCTTGAAGCCCATGAGAAAAGAATGGCCAGATTTATTGAACCACTGTTGGAGCAAGCCTTCCAATCACAGTTGAATGTTGCAGGCAAGAAGAATGAAGAAAGAAAGAGAAGACCCAACGACCAGAATCAGAATTTCAAACCAAAAGGCAAAGCAAAAGGCAACTGGAAAAAAAAATCAGCATGGGCAGTCCACTTTAAAAGGCGGCCACAAAAATTTTGCTCGGTGTCATATATGTAAAAAGAGCAACCACGAAAGCAGAGATTGCTAGTTTTTAGACAATGCAACTGCAATGATTTAAACCACCTGGTCATAAATTACCCAAAGAGACAGAAGAATGAAGCCAACTTTGTGTAGAGTGACGAATCTTCTGAACAACTATTTTACTCTTGCATGAATACTCAAGAAGAGCAACACCCTTGGTATCTTAATAGTAGGTATAATCATCATATGATGAGGATAAAGTCCAGCTTTGTCTACTTGGATGAGTAATTCAAATCCAAAGTGAAGCTTGGAGATGGGAAGTACGTGGAAGTGGAAGGCAAAGGAGAATCACTGTGGAAACAAAGGGAGGTACTTCTAAACTAATTAAAGATGTGTTGTATGTTCCTTCTTTATCTCAAAACTTGTTTAGTGTGGGTCAGTTAATTAGAAAAGGGATATATGCTCGCATTTGACAGAGATAAATGAACAATAATTGACAAGAAAAGGAATCAAATAATAAATACAGTACCTATGGCCTACAATAGAGTATTTCCATTCTCTATGACACAGAGAAAATCTTGTCTTGAAATCTAAAGATATAGATGAATCCATGCTGTGGCACATGAGCTATGGGCATTTAAATTCTAAAAGTCTAAAGTTATTGACAAGACATGATATGGTGATTGGGCTACCATCTATTGACATAAAGGAGAGAATTTGTGAAGGTTGTGTTTATAGTACAATGCACAGAGTGCCTTTCCAAAAACTTCTTGGAGAGCTTCAGCTCTGCTTGAATTAATACATGCTGATATATATGGCCCTACCAGGACACCTTCTTTGAACAATAGAAGATATTTTTTTCTATTTGTCGATGATTATTCACGAATGATGTGGGTTTATTTTCTTGAACAAAAGTCTTAAGCTTTTTCTATGTTTCTTCAATTTATGGCTTATGTAGAAAGAGAAAGTGGGCATGTCATTAAGAGATTGAGAACTGACCGTGGAGGAGAATTTATTTCCAAGTCCTTTTGAAATTATTGCAAAGAAAAAGGCATAAAGAGGCAGCTAATAGTTCGACAAAGTCCGCAACAAAACGGCATTGCGGAGTGGAAAAATTGAAGCGTTGTGGAAGTTGATAGAAGCATGTTGAAAGCTAAAGGTTTGCCAAACACTTATTGGGCAGAGGCTGTTAATACAACCATATACCTTGTAAACAGATCACCAACAAAGGCTGTCCAAAATATGACTCCCTATGAAGCATGGTTCTGTCAAAAACCAAAGGTTTATCATTTTAAGATCTTTAGTTGTCTTGCATACCATCTCGTTCTTCCTCAGAATAGAGAAAAATTTGACAAGAAGGGAGAGAAATACATCTTTATCAGATTTAGCGATCACTCAAAAGGCTATCAACTATACAATCCTAATGCTCGAGAGTTGGTAGTCTCTAGAGATATGATTTTTGATGAAGAAAAGGATTGGGAATGGAATAATGAAGGGCTGGATTCTCATACAACACCATTTGTGATAAGTGAGTGAATCAATTGACTTCTCCTAGTCAAGAAAATTTGGCAGCAAGTCAAAGTTCTCCACCATCACCAACTCAAAGATTATCCGTTTCATCAACTTCGAACTCTCCTCCAAAAAAGACACGTTCTTTGAGAGAAATTTATGAATCGTGTGATGTTGTATTTGCTGCTAGTGAACCACAAAACTATAAGGAGGCTGTCGGAGAAGAAGTTTGGGTGCAAGCTATGAATGAAGAAATGAAGATGATTGAGAAGAACAACACATGGCAGCTTGTTGAAAAGCCACCTTCTAAAGATGTTATTGGCTTAAAATGGGTTTTCAAGACAAAGTACAATGAAGATGGTTCTGTCCAAAAGCATAAAGCCCATGTTGTAGCCAAGAGATACTCTCAACAATTGGGAATTGATTTCAGTGAGACGTTCACACCAGTTGCTCGTATGGAAACCATTCAAACTTTCTTGGCTCTTGTAGCTCAACTCAAGTTACCGGTTTATCAACTAGATGTGAAATCGGCCATTTTGAATGGAGAAATTGAAGAAGAGGTTTATGTTGAATAACCACCAGGATATGTGATAAATAAGCAAGAAAACAAGATGTATCGACTCCAAAAGGCTCTTTATGAATTAAAGCAGACACCAAGGGCATGGAACATCAAAATTGATAATTATTTTCAGATACATGGTTTTCAAAGAAGTCCAAGTGAGCCTTCACTGTATGTGAAGACACAAGGAACAAATGATTTTCTTATAACTTGCCTTTATGTGGATGACTTGATTTATATGAGCAGTAATCTTATGATGATTGAAGATTTCAAGAGAGCTATGATGAGCAAATTTGAGATGACATACCTTGGGCTTATGAGATATTTTTTGGGAATGCAAGTGAAGTAAGAACACGGCAGAATCTTTGTCTCTCAAGAAAAATATGCTGCTGATTTATTGAAGAAGTTCAACATAACTTGCTACAAAGCTTCTCTTACTTCTATGGCAGTTCATGAAAAACTTTCAGAGAATGATGGCAAATAAAAGGTTGATGAGACTATATATCGAAAGCTAGTTGGATCACTCATTTAGCTAGTTTCAAGATTTATGAGTGAGCCTAGCAAACTTCATTTTGCAACTCCTAAACGTATTTTGAGATATGTGCAAGGGACCAAGCACTATGGCTTTTTATTCCAAGCTGAAGAAGATAGCAAGCTGATTGGTTTTTCTGATAGTGACTGTGGTGGTTCGATAGATGATCGAAAAAGTACATCTGGCTATGTTTTCCTTTTGGGAACAAAGCCCATTTCCTGGTCATTAAAGAAACAAAGTACTGTTGCCTTGTCCTCAGCTGAAGCTGAATATATTTCAGTATGTGGAGTAGCGTGTGAAGCAATATGGCTCAGAAGAATTCTCAAAGATAAGGAATAAGATCAAGTTGGTTCAGCTGTACTTTTCTGTGATAATATGTCTGCTATAGCAATGACCAAGAATCCTGTTTTTCACAGCCGTTCAAAGCATATTGAATTAATACACCACTTTATCAGAGAGTTGGTTAACAAAGAAGAAATTGAGTTGGCCTTCGGCAAAATAGGTGACCAAGTGGCTGATATCTTCACCAAGCCAATTCCAACAGAGAAGTTTATTTACTTTCGAGAGAAGCTGGGAGTGCTTGATTTCTCAAAATTAAAGGGGAGTGTTAAAAATTAATTTTGAGAATTTTCAATTAATGTAGTGGTTGAACCTTGATTATGCTGTCTAGGTTGTTTCCCATTTCGCATTTAATGTTGCTCTAAAATTTTCTATGTGATTGCATTCTTTTTTTAAGGTTGTAAGATGTTGTCTCTGATATGCTCAAATAATACAACACACCTTTTTGTCTTCCCTTGCTCTCTTCTCAAACTTTTTCTCCAATTCCTTTTACTAAAACATCTATCAGGAAATGCAACTATTGAAAATTCATCAATATATAGAAATATATATGTGTATATTTAATATTTACCTTCATTACTAAGGCGATTTCCACATAGTGAAAGTCTTTTCATAAAATAGCCAGTACCGGATAAACATGGTCCTCTTTGTCCATCCATTCCTTGCCATTGCACCTAATTAATTTGGCACAAAAATCTTTAAATTAAACAAGTATAGAATATAACAAAGTATGGAAAATATATAAGCAGATGCTTATTGTTATTGTTATTACTAGCCGTTGGCGTACAAGATAAGCATTTGAAAACTATTTCCTCTTAATTATGGTGTGATTCATATTAGTCTTTGGATACTACTAACAATATCTTACTATTTATTCTACAATATAAAACGCATGGTTTACTTAGTTGTAAGGAACTTATTATATGTAAGTGTAAACGTCATTGCCCCTCTGAAATATGTTTTACCTTCGTTTTTTTTTTCTTTTTTTTTTGCAAAAATATTTGTTTTCCTTTGCAAAAATTTCAATATAAAGTAACTATTTTTGTTTCTCATTAAGAAAAACTGTGAATGAATATTCAACTTATAGTTTGAGTTGAACTTGAATATGCACATTAATAATTGCATCTCCAAGTACAAGGATACAAACATGAATAAATATTTTGAGAGAGAAAAAAAAGAATAAATATGACAAGCTTTTTAAAATAGTAGTGTAAACTTATGAGAAAGTAATCGATTTTAACATATTTAAAATGATGATCGAGTTTCCTAGAGTATATGCCTTCACAAGTTCAAATATCTCTGATTTTATTTATTTATTTATTTTTTTAAAAGAAAGAAAGAGGCGTGGGTCCTATTACAGTTATGTTGTATGTATGCATATATGTATGTATGTATGTTAACATAGATGTAACGTTTCTACATACTGAAAATGCTGATCTTATACGACTGTCATAGATGTCGTGTTTACTGATGTTGCGAAATCTTTGAGGGAATTGAACAAAGGCGAGAGAGTGAGATATCTCGGGATCAAGATGGAAACACATTGCTTTCCGAGCTGCAGTCGGGTCATTACAATACATGTCGCAGTCCAGCACTAGAAAGTAAGGAGAGTTACTCAGCACACCTGAGACTCTTAGCTGCAAAAAAAAAAAAAAAAAAAAAAAAAAAAAAAAAAAAAAAAAAAAGTATGTATATATATACACACACATGTTTATTCACTTGTGTATATGAGATAGCTGTAGGTCTGTGCAGTGTAAACGAACAAACTAAGAATTGGGTGTATAGAAGACATACTAGAACATTAAGGGCTCCAGCCTTATACTGGTTAGGATGAGAAGGCCTTTTTTCTCGAGAAACATAAACAAGGAGAGGTATTTTGTCATTTACTGCATCACTCGAGGAATCTTGCATCATTACCTGCTAGAAGTACATACGTTTAATATAATGTTGTATTAAATTTATGTGAGTGAAGTTGAAAAATAGAATTTTTTATAAATATTTTAAGAAAAGTAAAAATTATAGGCCAAGTCTCCAATCTGGTATCAGACTAGAGCGGCGTTTGTATATTTTTTCTTTAATATATATATTTTCTCTTTAAAACGTGTATATTTTATCTTAAAATATATATATATATTGTATATTTTACTGTAAAAAGAAATGTATATATTTTAAGTGAAAATATACACATTTTAAAAAGGAAATATACATGTTTTAAAGAAAAAATATACAAGTGTCGCTATAGTTTGGTACTAGACAGGAGGTAATTCCAAAAATTATGTAGTAATTATTTTAATTATATTCATATTCATGCAACAAAATGGCATAGGAATTATTTTAATGATATGATTTTTGCTATTTGAAGAATATTTTAATTTTTTTTTTATCTATTTCAACACGACTAGTTAAATTTTACTATGGCCTCGTTCCTCTTGTGGATTCGAGTTTTGAATTCGAGCTGAGATGTGACATTTTCTGAGAGTTCTTAACTGTAGTAGAAAAAGTTAGATGTGACATTTACTGAGAACTTTTAACTGTAAAATCTTAGAATTGAAAACTCGAATCGGTGAAATGAACAAGGCCTATATGTCTAAAAATGTCTAGGTTATTTTAAAAATTACTTTTCAAATAAACTAATTTTTGTTGGGTGTAATGGGAATGGGCTTTATGGTCAAATGTTAGCATTTATATTCTTTAAGAATAAATGTAACAACATTATTTAGACATTTTGATATCAATAAAGGTAGGTTAATTTATTTTCATATATCGAGCAATGTCCTCTTTAAGTTCATATAAATGGAATGCATAATAAGTAAACTGAAAATATGAGACTGCCGCTGTAAATTTTTAGACCGTGCATATAATGTGAAGAATATGCAAAAGACATAAATCTAAAGGTGATAGTCGAGATAATATGATCCACAACAAGGGAATAAAATTGTGCACTTTATTTATGTTAAGATTGTTATGTTGTCTACTTCCTAACGGAGATGGCTTGTCTTAGGCATCGAAGTGGAACTCCATAGGTAGAGACATTGATATACATACATTCATGGAATATATATTAGATCGGACCAAAATTGAATTATTTTAATTAATAATTCTATTTGAATAAAATAATTAACTTTTGACTAATTATATGTAATCATCTTAATTCTGAGATGAATAATAAATTTCATATGTGACTATAGGGAATGATGTCCTAAAGGCATGCGATGTAATGAAAGATATTATTATTTATTTAATGAATGAGAAATTTCATTATTTACGTGCATGTATTATTCAATACTTTATGAATATCGTTGAAAATTTTACGATTATTTATGTAACCTTAAATATTGTATATAAGAGTTATATACGATAGGATAATATTTAAGGATAATAATTGCAATGTGTTCGTAATGAATTTAATTAAAATTTCTAAATCTTTAATTAAAACATTTCTAATACATGTCATTCCCATTAAGAATGGAACAATGTTATCCACACTGTTAATATGACAAGATATTGGATGAGTGTATTACACATAATGTGATTATGAGGAACTAGGACACAGACATGATATGAATTTCTAATAATTTCTGTTAAGTATAGAAATTCGAATTACTTCTGTCGATGGCCATATATAGAATGATCTCAATCTTGAGTTATTAGTAGACTATTCTTTAAGGATTTGTGTCATTTAACTTATTTAGTATGGATTTCGAGATTGCTAAATTATATTCCTTACATCTTGGAGACATGATAAAGTGGGTAGCGGGAATGTTAATATACGAGATAGATATATTCCTTCTTGAGAAAGAAGTAGATAAATAATTCCCTTGTAGTGTTGATTTAGTACTTAGATTAGTAGGGGTGCTCTGGTTCATGAATTTGTTTTATGAATCACTATCCATTAGAGAATCAATGGTACTCAAGCATAAAGATGTAATTAGAGAGGTTAACGAACTTCACCTAGCTCTAATTATAAATTATTTATGGATGATTGATCTATACGTAATGACTATATCAAATGGACAGTTCATAGTTTGGAAGTAAATTATATCTATAATTACAAGAGTGTAATTCCAAGTTTATAGTGGAGTAACTTTGGAATTAATAAGAATTAATTAATTACTTAAAGAGTTTTAATTAATTATTTAATTTATTGGAGTCCCCGTGTCGTTCTTGTAATTCTTCAAGACCCTAAAGATAAAATGAAAATTTTAGAATTATGAAATTATAAATAAAACACTATAAAACAATTAATTGAGACAACCAGAGCGAAATTTTTTTTTCCAAAATTAGATTAGATTTTTTTTAATTAAATATGATTTAAAATTAAATATTATCTCCTATTTTCTGAAACATTTATCTTAAAAGATAAGATAGAATTTTTCTAGGACTCAATGAGGTATTCTATAAATAGAAAGTTACAAAAAATTGGAGAACACAATTTTTCTCCCTTCCCCTATGTGATAGCCATGTAACATGCTAGTTACGGTAGTGTAATATTCTCTTAGACAACGTGTAACATTCTAGTGACATACAAGTAACTTTTTCACTCCCTCCCCCACAGGTGGCGTGTAACATGTCTAGTATAGGCATGTAACACACAGTTAGTTAGTATGTAACCTACTAAAGGTGGGTGTGTAACCTTAGAGAAAAAGACAAGAAAAGTTCTTCCAAATTCCAAGTTCCACGTCGTGCATATGTTGGTGTTCGTAGAAGACTTGAATGTTTTGAGAGCTAATTCTATTTTGTTTGATGTGTGCCCACACACATGTCTTCGTAGATTCAAGGAATTGACGAGAAAGATTCGGGTATTTAAAACAAGCTTGGAGCAAGGAACGTTCGTGGTCAAAGAACTCAAGTTATCGACCTAATAGTTCGCTAGGTAAATTTATTCTTAAATTAATTTGCTTAATTTATTCCCGCATAAATTAATGTATTTTATAGAGTATCTCAAAGGTTTATTAAAATTTTTGTTATATACGATCAACTAGATACATGCTTCCGCATAGAAAATCGTTTTCAAAACCATTAGTGAATTGTATATTTTGATGTACCAACTGGTGACATGCTGATATTATTGAATGTACGCATATTGGTGCATTGGAGACATGATTCATGTTTCAATATACAGACATATTCTATTATGTGAGTATTTCCTTTTTTTTTTAAAAAGGATGATCGGTTCCGGGTGTATATCTTCGGACCGTGAGTACCTTATTTTAAATGCTTTATAAAATTATATCCTACTGGGCCTTTCACTCACCTTTTCCTGTTTTCAAATGTATTAAACCCCTCCAGGCGACGCGAGGAGTAGTACAGAGTAGGTAGCTACTACCGGTGACGTTGACTTGTTTCAGGAAAGTGAAGAGTTGTATTTCCTCTTATCTTTTATTTCAAGGCATGTATAAGAGATTATGGATTGTAAACTTAAATATTACTAGATTGTGGTTGATGTCATATTTACTTTTGTTTATGTTCATGTATGCTAAACACCTGTGGGAATTCCTGACATGATACCAAGGATGTGATTTTAGACTGGTTTAGTTGGAAATTCCACCACCGTTCTTGAAATTGAATTTCTCCTGAATGAAAAGGGGCTCGTTTGGAAATACCTGGACGTTTTGGATTTGAAAGAAATAAAATTATTTTACTAATCGCTCTCTCAAACAGGTTTAAGGTTCTAAACGAGCCTCCACGTCACTAACCCCGGTTTAGGGGCGTGACAAGACTTGGTATCAGAGCCCTTGGTTTAGAACCTTAGGGTTTAGAATTATGCATACATGAATGACATCGAGAAACCACTAAAACAGTCTAGCTTTCTTTTCAGATAAAAGAATGCCGCCGCGCCGTAGAAACCCGAACCCACCGGTGATGCCGAATGAACAATTCATGGAAGCCATGTACGCCGCTTTCCAGGGGATGGCTACTAGAGCCCAAAATGAACGTCCCGCAGAGGACAGAAAACAGAACTACTTCCGTGAGTACAGGCGTAGTTCAATTCCTGTATTCACTAACGCGGGTGGACCCGAGGAAGCTGAGTATTGGTTCGAATCAGTGTCTAAGCATCTAAGTACCATGGGAGTACCGGATGAGTATTGGGTGGAGTTCACAGCTTTTAAGTTTGAAGGTCCTGCAGGTGCATGGTGGAAGCATATCCGGCGAATGCAAGATGTAGAGGGGATGACTTGGGAACAATTCGAAGCGCTCTTTAATGAGCAATTCTTTCCCCAAAGTTATCGAGATGAAAAGGCCATGGAATTCATGGGCCTACAACAAGGGGAAATGACAATGAGGGAATACGAGGCTAGGTTCAATGAACTGTCCCGTTTTGCTCCCTCCTTGATTGAATCGGAGCGCATGAAGTGCCTAAAGTTTGAGAAAAGTCTTAAGGGTGTAATCCGAAAATCAGTGGTAGCTTTAAGGCATCGAGTTTACAGTGACCTGGTTGTAGCAGCCATCTCTGTTGAACAAGAGCACTTCGCCTTCCTCCAGGATCGAGCAGTTTCAGGGAAATCTTCAGGAGGACCTCAAAGGAATAACAGAAAAAGCCGTGATCAAGGGCAAGGTAGTGGGGGAGTGCCTAGTGGTAGCAGTGGCTCTTCGGGAAGTGGGAAGAGTGGACCATATAGCTTCAGGTGCCACCATTGTGGGGAGCTAGGGCATATCAAGAGGAGCTATCCTATCAGGGGCCAACTGGTGAACCAACAGACCCAGCAATTACCGCAGAGTCAAAGGGGTGTTGCTTCTAGTCAAGACAGACTTCCACAGTTCACGCCTTTTTATCAACCCCAGTTGCCTGTCCAGATGCCAATTCCTCCTGCACCGATCTTTCATCCGCTGAACTACTCTTATTTCCGGCCACAGGCTTCCGTATTGATACAGTCTACCCCGCCGCAACAACAGTACAGACCTGGAAACCAGAGACC